ATTGAGGAAGAAAAGGAGATTCAAATGAATCGAGTTAAATTCCTGTTCTCAATGCAAGACCACTATAGACGGGTTAATTCCCGTCGTTCACCCATAACCCGAATTGCTGTTTCGTTCGATAAATTCTATAAATAAGAAAAGTCCAATAAACTTCATTTCATATAAAACCTATTTTGAATTCCATATAGTAGAATAGTAAAAAAATCATAGTATAAGATGTGAAGACAAATCTACTAGTTTATTGTTTGATAATATCAAAAAAATTTTTATTTTAATTAAGGAGCTTTTTATGTTTATAGGTTCTGATTTATTCTTGAAGGTACTCAATTCAGTCGTTGTAGTCGGACTTTATTATGGATTTCTTACCCACATTTTCAATAAGGTCCTCTTATTTATTCTTTGTGCGAACTCTGGTTCTGGAAAAAGAAACAAATACAAATAATAAGGTAGCAGCAACCACTGGTTTTATTCATGGGACAGCTCATGAGATTCGTATCCATCTATTATGCGCCCTTTTATCTAGCTTTGGGTAGACCTCATACAATAACTGTCCTTGCTTTACCTTATCTTTTGATTCAGCTTTTCTTGAACACTGAAAAAAAAATTTTTGCTTATGGATCTAATAACCAAAATTCGATCCGTGAGCTAGAGAATATCTTTGTATTCCTCAATCATCTTATTTTTCAGTTGCTTAACACTTGCATTTTACCAAGTTCAACGTTAGCCCGATTAGTAAGCATTTATCTGTTTCGCTGTAATAATAAGATGTTGTTTGTAACAAGCAGTTTGTTTGCTTGGGGAATGGGACAAATTTTAGTCATAAATTGCTTGGAATTTTTAGCAGTCTGGATACAGAAAAATAATGTTATTAGGTCGATCATTCGAAAGTACCTAGTGAGAAATTCTATATTTTTTATTTTAGTAAATTATAGTTTTGGAACTCTAGTATGTATTCTAAGTATTCAGTCTTTAGGCAGAACACCCTTACCTATTCCTACTCAGAAATTTAGTGAGGTCTCAAAAATAGAACAAAGGGAAAAGGAAAGGTTGCAAAGGGAGGAAGAAAAAGACGTAGAAAAAAAAAAGAAATCCGCTGAAAAAGATCCTTCCCTTTTTTCCGAAGAAAAAGGTATTTTGGAAAAAGAATTGGACTTGAAGGTAATGAACCAGACTTGGAAGGGTCTGATTCCGAATTGGAAATCCTTGAAAAAAATGAAAATAAAGAACATATTGTGGCTCTTCTTTTTGATTATAAAAGATGGACTCGCCCATTTCGTTACATAAAAAAATAATAGACTTGAACAAGCTGTAAGAAACGAAATGGCACAATATTTCTTTGACATACATAAAAGTGATGGAAAAGATAGATATCTTTTACCCATCCGATATGTTTATCAACGTTTTTTCAAATAATCAAAACAAAGATACCCCTTTTGTCACTAGAAAAAGATATTTCTAATACATTGGACAATTTTTGGGTTTCTAGAAACAAACAAAAATTAAATTCTATAAAAATTGATTTGCTAATCGAATTAAAAATCTTGACAAACCAGTAGCAGTTCCAATAATCGAAATTGAAACAAACAAAACGCGATTATGTATAACACAATGATGAGACTAGAAAAGAATACTTACCAGAAAAGTATGATCCCTTGTTAAATGGCCTTCCCGCGGAAGAATAAAAAAAGATATCACGTCGATAAACGATACTTCGATCAAAAAGTTGAGAGAGAAGGTTATGCTAAATAGACTTCATGCTTTATTGTTGATGTCTACTTTTGAAAAAAAGGAAAAAAAAACCATTACAAGTTGGTGAGTTCTCAACTTTATCATCAAGTTTCAATTTAACGGATTCAGAACAACTAACAAAATTTTTAGTAAATGCAATTGAGACAGACGATAAAAAATCTTCTGCAATAGAAAAAAATAGGTAAAGAAGAAATTGGTAAAAAAGTCCCCGATGGTCATACAAATTAATAACTGAATTGGAACAAATATCGTATTTTACAAATCCACCAGATGATCATGATATTCGTTCAAGAAAAGGGATCAGTGTATTAATTTTTGAAGAACCTAAGACTCTCAAAGATAAGACTACAAACAAAGATAAGAATACAAAAGATACAAATATTCAAGCTATAAAATCCGACGATAATGAGAAAGATAAAAATATTAAAAAGAAAAAGGAAGATGAGGATAATAAGCTTTTTTTATTACGATATCCGCACCAATCTGATTTTCGCCAAGGCTTAATAAAAGACTCTATGCGAACTCAAAGACGTAAAATAGTTATTGAGGGACTTTTTAAAGCAAATGCGCATTCCCCTCTTTTTTTTGACAGGATGAGGAAAAAAAACCTTTTTTTCTCTACCATACCTGGCTCAACTGAACGGCTTTTTAGAAAATGGTCATCCATAAAAGAGTTTGGGTAGAATCTACAGAGGAAAAAAAAATAATAATAAAAAGAGAAACCAAAAAGGAAAAAAAACGACGAGAGGAAATAGAACGGTTAGAGATAGGGGAAGCCTGGGAGACTTTTCCATATACCCAAATAATAAGAGGTTTTTTATTAATAACCCAATCAATTCTCAGAAAAAAGATTCTATTACCTTCATTCATAATCGGTAAAAATATCGGGCGTATGCTACTATTTCAAACTCCTGAATGGTCTGAAGATTTAAAGGGATGGAATAGAGAAACGCATGTGAAGTGTACTTATAATGGTATTCCGTTAGCTGACAAAAAATTTCCGGAAAATTGGTTGACAGAAGGTATTCAAATCAAAATTTTATTTCCTTTCTGTCTCAAACCTTGGCACGAATATAAATCGCTAAATTCTCGTGATGACTTTTGTTTTTTAACAGTTTGGGGAAGGGAAACAGAACACCCTTTTGGTCATCCACGACAAAAACCTTCGTTTTTTAAGCCTGTTTTTAAGGAACTTTACAAATTTGTAAAAGTAAAAATTAAATTTTTAAAAAAGTTTTCAAAAAAAAACACAAGTTCAAAAGAAACAAGAACAATACACCCGAGTGTAATAAAAAATGAAAAAGATGATCTAATAAATAACCAGATAATGAATCAACCCTTGAGTAAAATTGAAAAAATTACAGATTGGAAAAATTATTCACCGATAGACAAAATGCAGGCTATCACTCATAGGACAAGTACAATTAAAAAAAAACTAGAAAGAATTACGGAAGATAAGAAAAGGGTCACTCTAGAACTTGATATGAACCCTTACAAAAAAAGTTCGAGATTAGCCTTGTCAAAAAATTTTTGTCAAATGTTGAAAAAAAAAAAAAATAGATTAATATATAAATTTAATTATTTTATAAAATTATTTATTCAAAGAATATCTAATTGTATTTTTTTATATACTATATCTATTTGCCAAATGACTCAAAAAGTCTTTGTGGAATCAACAAAAATGAACTCTCTTTCAAATTCAAATATAAAAACGCATAATAATAAGCTTTATAAGGAAAATTCAGAGAGTTTTGGTGATTTATCCAACTTGTCACAAGCATATGTATTGTACAAAATATCAGAAAGGGGTTTTTTGAACGTACGTAATTTCATATCTGTTCTTCAACAAAATGGAACATCTTTCTTGATTAAAAAGAAAATAAAAGACTCATTTCATACACAAGGAATACTTCCATCTGAAGGAATAAAAAAACAACTTAAGCGGCCTAGAACGAGTCAATGGAAATTTTGGTTAAAAGGGAATTCTCACATACGATTTATCTCCTAATTTCTGGTCTGCCTTAAGATCACAAAAACAAAAATGGAGAAATAGGGCGAATCGCTATCGTAGGTCTAAACAAAAATATTTAGACAAAAGGACTTCCGGTAAAAAATTAAAATTAAATACTTACAGGAAACAAAAGGATGCTAACTCAGTCTTGAATAAAAAAACAAAAGATAATTTAAAAAAATGCTATCGATATGATCTTTTAGCATATCAATACATTCAGTATGAAAAAAATAGTGGAACCCCTCCAGGAGCTAAACGGGAAGCAATTTCTTATCATTACAAGATGTCACAAAACAACTTGTTTGCGATAACGAAAAATATTCCTATCACTAGTTTCAGAGGAAAAATAGAAAGGTTAAATATTCCATATCCAAAAAAAGATGTCGATAGAAAATATTTGAATTGGAAAAATATTGATTTTTCTCTTAAAAAAAAAGCGAATATTGAGTCCTGGATCACGGGTAATTATAACAATACTCAAAATACTCCAATTTTCACTTACAATTATCAATTAATTGATAAAATGGAAGAAATTTTGAAAATTGAGCAAATTTTTAAAAACGAAAAAGATCCTTTTGCTCTTTTGATTCAGAAAAATACCGAAATGAATCGACTCCATTCTAGAAATTCTTTATTGGATTGGATGGGACTGAATGAAGAAATACTCGACCGTCCATTAACGGCTGAGGAACTTTTGGTTTTCCCAGAATTTGTGTGGTTTGTTAATTTATATAAACTGAAACCATGGATTATACCAAGCGAATCACTTATTTCAAATTTGAATCTTAATGAAATGACAAGTCAAAAGACCGGTAAAACTCAGAAAGATAAAAAAGATAAAACTGAGAGTAAAAAAAAAGATAAAGCCGAGGGTCAAACCAAAAGTGAACCTGAGGGTCAAACCAAAGGTGAAACTCAGGGTGAAACCAAAGGTAAACCTGAAGGTGAAACCAAAGGTAAACCTGAAGGTGAAACCAAAGGTAAACCTGAAGGTGAAACCAAAGGCGAAACTGAAGGTGAAACTGAAGGTGAAAAGAAAAGTCAAACTGAGATAGAACTAGAGTTATTCATGAAAAACTATTTATTTTTTCAATTTAGAGAGGATTTTACTTTAAATCAAGGCCTTTTCCAAGATCTCCAAATCTATTGTCTCTTGCTTAGAATGATAAATCGAAAAAAAATGATGCTATCATGGATTCTAAGGGAAAAGTTAAATTTGGGTCTAATGCCACAGATGGATCAGAAAGAGAGTGTTCCAGATTCAAAAAGAAATGTTCCAGATTCAAAAGAGAGTGTTCCAGATTCAAAAGAGAGTGTTCCAGAATTTTTAAAAAAGACGGGATTTTTGGTCGACCCCCTTCCGCTGTCTATCAAACCAAATGGAGAATTTCTTATGTATGAAACGATAGTTATTTCGTTGGTTCATAAGAGTAAACAAATTCTTAATAAAGAAGACGTAAAACAAAGAATAATTCGCGCTCGAGAGAACAATAATTGTGATCCGCTTCTTATTGAAAATATTTTATCATCTAGGCGTCGTAGAGAATTAAGAACTCTAATTTGTTTCAATTCACACAAATGGAATGGCGTGGATGCAAATTCTCTAGTTTCCAACAAAAATAAAGTTTGGGAAGAAAGCAACCCTGGGCCTAAGGATCAAAATAAATTAATTGAATTTTTTCTTTGGCCTAATTATCGATTGGAAGATTTAGCTTGTATGAATCGTTATTGGTTTTATACTAATAATGGGAGTCGTTTCAGTATGTTAAGGATCCATATGTATTTACCATTGAATTTAAATTGGTGGAAATTTAATTGATAGTAGTACTATCTACCCTGTAGCAGGGTAGATGGTAGCAGGTTAGATGAAAACCAATATGGACACATACCCTATTTTATACCTCATTTTAATTTGGATCTAACTGAATTGAGGATACCATATATCTATCTAGATCTATATAGATATATTGTACCTCATTAAAAGAATATTAAGTTGAAAAAATTCACTTTGATTTTATTAATGAACCCTAAAAGAAAGGGTTTTCTTTTGATTTGAATTGATAGACTTAGTTAGAAGAATTCCTTTTTAGCAATAAATGTCTTTCACATCCAGTGATAACCTGTAAATCATTTGAAATGGCAGTTCCAAAAAAACGTATTTCGAAAGCCAAAAAGCGTATTCGTAAGAACATTTGGAAAAGAAAGACTATTGAGGTAAGATTAAAAGCTCTTTCATTAGCAAAATCTCTTTTAACGGGTAAGTTTCAAAGTTTTTTTTACAAAAAAAATAAGAAAACATTGGACTCATTTCTGTCAAGTTGATTTATTCTATAATATAGAATAAAAGTAAATAATATTATCCTTTTTTTCTTTATTTTTTGTTCGTTCGTTTTAGTTACTAATCAATTATTTCATATCTATGAAATGAATCTAGAACTTAATTATAAAAAATTATTTTAAATGCATATTATATATCAATGAAGGGAGTTCATTTAGTTTATGATAAAAAACTTACAAAACAGAGGTTCCGTTGAATTTCAAGTATGGAATTTCACCAATAGAATACACCGGCTTACTTCCCACTTGAAATTGCACAAAAAAGACTATTTATCTCAAAAAGGTTTACGTAAAATTTTGGGGAAACGACAACGACTTTTAGCTTATTTATCAAAAAAAAATAAATTCCGCTATAAAGAATTAATTGATAAATTGGAGATTAGAGAGACAAAAACTCATTCATTTTGAAGTTGCATAGCTTTTCAAACCTATTATAGAGGTAAATTTAGAACAACAATATGGTTACTGAAACAATTAAAAAAGAATAGCTTGGGGTAGTGAATAGAAAGACATCATGTCCTTTTGTCTATTGATTCTTACTGTATAAATTTGAAGGGAGTATTTATTTAAAACTTTAAAACAATAGATTGAGTTAATTAAAAAAAGAATCCTTATTTACCCTATTAGGTAGTTTGTAGGTAGTTTGCGTAGTTATAAAAAAAATGATAATATTAAAACATAAAATAATTTTTTTTTATTTTCAAAACCAATCCAGAAATCTATTGATTAGAATCCTTCTGAGAATTCATTGAGTCATATAGTATCTAAAAACCAAGTATCTTATAATTTTATATTGGATAAAAATAATATTTGGAGGATACTATATCGATAATTCATAAAGTTTATAAATTTATTCGTCCAATGGCACATTCTGTAAAGATTTATGATACATGTATAGGATGTACTCAATGTGTCCGAGCCTGCCCCACCGATGTTTTAGAAATGATACCATGGGACGGATGTAAGGCTAAACAAATTGCTTCTGCTCCGAGAACAGAAGACTGTGTAGGCTGTAAAAGATGTGAATCCGCCTGCCCAACAGATTTCTTGAGTGTTCGAGTTTATTTATGGCATGAAACAACTCGCAGTATGGGTCTCGCTTATTGATCTGGTCCAGAAAAGTATATTTGAATTCATTCTATTTTTATTGAACACCCGTGCTCTCAAATAGGAAATATTTTTATTTGAGAGCACGGGTTTCACAAATTTTTAGCTTTTCACGAAGTAAAAAATTAATGTCTTTTTTTATGTTCGCGAAAATGAACCATAAGTATGTAGACCTAATCCAATTAAATTGACTCCAAAATAACATATCCAAATAAGAAGAAAACCTATAGATGCCACAATTGCCGAAGTAGCACCTTCGAAAGTTCTATTTCTTCGAGTATGTAGATAAATTGAAA